GGATTATGACTACTTCGAATGACTTTACTACATGCCATAAAGGTACAGGCGGGTGTTGTAAAAATGTTGGCTCAGCTTTTTCATTAAGACACATTTCTTTTTCTAAGAATCTTGTTTATTCGGCCTATGCTGAATTCTAATTTTTCAACCAACTTTTCTTCCCTTTTGAATATTCTTAGATCTCCTAGTATCAGTTAATATTCATGTAATTAAAATAATTACATGAAATCTTGCAGGTGTATGGCACATTATATTTTCCTCTGATCCCCTTGACATTTAGTTATGTGTAGGGGTTGATATTGGCTATAAAATCTAAGTGAAATTAAAGTTTTGTGCACAGCCGATGCATCAAATTTATATAATACTAGTAGTAATCGGAGATTAGGGAAGTGCGTTCGGCATTTCAAAGGGGAAATATTGTTTTTTGGTTATTGGGATAGATGAATATGCCTATGGTATGTTGTCAAATAAAGGGTTATGGCGTATTGTGAAACCTGTATTTACTCTGTGTACGAAAAGGTTTTAAAGGCTAGTTATATCGTATGGTTTTTGAGGAGGCAGTCGTCGCAGTCCATCGGGCGTGTACATATGCAAGTTTTACTGTAGTTGGTGTGGTAGTTAAGTGTTAGTAAGTAGTAAGAGAATAGTTGAAAACGTGTTTAAATGTAAGCATTAATTTTATTGAACCTTCACCAACGAACAACCACGTCCTCGAACGTCCGACAAACTGCGATGCACGAGGCAGCATCCTTTGCGCAACGAAATTGTGACGTCATTTAAAATGGCGCTGAAAAGATGAACGGCCGGCCGATCGAACGAAAAAAATTGTATCCTTAAAACTAGTCTGGCTTTCACGGTGATAGTTTCCAGGTTTGAAAAAAGTCATTGCCTACTGAAATCCTCAGTTTCTTTGCCCTGACAGCCCAACTTCATCAAAACATTGCAAACAGGAGCAATTGGCTAATTATTGATACAGACAAGAAGAGCCTATTCTCAAATACACCCTCCTCAATCCTGTTAGCTTATTGTGGGCATGGCATTTCAAACGTGGCATTTATGCCGCAAATTTTCCATCCCCTGATTAATTATTTTGTAACGGTGTTCTTAAGTTGTGGATAATGGTTGGGTTGAAATATAATACAAAGACTTGCCAGTAGATAGTCAAATGAAAACTTTTTTACATATCAATAAAGTTTATTGTTGCGTTTCATATTAACATTTTGCAACAACTCGATCTTCCAGTAAATTCAACTAATAGCAAACATGAGAAAATACCTTGTAAAATTTTTCAACCTATTTAATATAGCCAATGACAACATCAACTCAACCTTTGAATAAAAGAAAAAACTTGATTGATGTTTGGAATTGATTTCTGTGATGTGGAAATGAAATCCAGGTATTATCTCAGGTTTTCTTGGAGACATTCACATTATATGCAGTTATACCAGAGGTTATCGAGTTAATTAAGAGAAAATATCAGAAAAAGACGTCGTGTCTTTCCAGCCAGAGGACAATCATGAGACAAGAATAGCCAAGAACGAAACAGTTTTAAAAAGTTACAGGTTCAAACACGAGTTGAAAATTACTTTTCTTTTTAATTTTCTACGCTAAACAGAGGAGGTTGAAACGTTAGGGAAAAACGGTGGGGTAAGCAGTCATACCTGGCAACTTCAAGAGAAGATAAGAGAAGCCCATACGATTCTGGTATATTGTTTTACTGAGTCACTGTGCTCACGTTTTTACACTCCAATCGACTAGTGATGTCTTAACGCAACGTAGTTTGCCGTCGTTTCTTTCAATTTTGGCTCATTTTCCCACACCGAAATTATAAGTCATACTTAATAGAATATAATTTCAACTGATGCTGACATCATACACTTCATCTGAAGAAGAAAACATTCCCTATCTTCGAAAATCTGCTCAAATCATTAGGAACATCGACGAAGGTCCTAAGCTGTTTGACCATACCCGGTCCAAATCCGCCAGCGGATATAGACCCCATTCGCAGATTTGGACCCCTCCTACCAAACGTTCCTTTTAAGCATCGTTTGTATCATACTTGGTCACTAATTCTATTTGGAAGCTTTTTGCCGATGTTCTTTTCCATCACAACACAACATTCCTCAGTTAAGGTAAAGAAAAACAGCCATTTCGTTCCAATTCTGCCGCATGTATTCTGCCGAGTCGTACAGTATACGCAATAATTAAATGCGAACAAACTACTGCATTCGAACTCTTGAAATTGTTCCAGTAAATCTTTGCTTCTTCTGATGCCAATCAACATTAATAAGTAACGTCATAACATTAGTGGAGACTGTTGCATCCAGTCACCAAAACAACTCAGTCTGATTTTCTAATTAAATAACATTAAACAGTTTCTGAACAAGAACGAAGTAACAACTCCTGCTAAAAGTCGTTCGTAAAGCCTATGGTAAGTAAAAATGTTTCTATTCTGAACAATTGGAACTCTCAGCTTATTTTCAAAGGCAAGTCAACATTAATGTCTACGTCCTAACAAAAGTGGTGACTATTACATTGAACTCAATCTTATTTTCTAATTTCAACGAATATTAAAATGGAAAAGAGGAATCTTATTCGATCTTGAAGATTCGAAACTCTGCTAGTTTCGATTTCAGTTGCGGTTTGAAGCTCTACCAAATGAGATCAAACTTCCTCAGCAATAACAACTTTGTCAATAGTACGTCACCTTTGTAACTAGCGTGACGTAATGTTCGATTGTGGTTATGTTTGACAAAACCCTACATTTCGACTTTCAAATAATTCCTGTATGTATAACTATTTTCAGTTGCATCCTCCTACAATTCTCATCGTCGATAGATTCATCGAAAAAAACTTACTAGGTCCTATGCCAGTGTCGCTGTCGCAAGATGTCGCTCTTTTCCTGTCAGTTTTTGCCGGCTGTCAGTTCATCGGAACAAGATTGTCGCCACATATTTTTAGCAATGTCGCTTGTGGCCAATACTCCTTGGAGGGCCTCAATGAAACGTCGATCCCTTCATGTACCTAATTGGGGCTATTAAGTTTGGCACATGAAACATTCGGCGTTTGAACCAGGCATGTATTCCAGGCAATGTCTCGAATAAGACATTCATACGTATATTAACTCCTTGATCAGAGAAACTTTAATTTATGCGTACATTCCAAAGTTAAAAAAAATACGAAAGGAAGAGATTTGTCAGGAGCGTGGAAAAAGAGGAATCTTATTCGACCTTGAAGATTCGAAACTCTGCTAGTCTCGATTTCAGTTGCGGCTGGAAGCTCTACCAAATGAGATCAAACTTCCTCAGCCACAACAACTTTGTCATTAATACGACCTTTGTAACTAGCGTGACGTAATGTTCGATTGTGGTCATGTTAAACAAAACCCTACATTTCGACTTTCAAATTATTCCTGTATATATTACTATATGTATATGTATATGTATATATATGTATATACTATATATATGTAATACTATATGTATAACAGCTGCATCCTCTTGCAATTTTTATCGTAGGTAGATTCATCGGAAAAAACTTACCAGGTTCTGCGGGAGACAAACGTTTGTTTTGCCATTTAATCACGTCCCTGCTTGTTATATGTCCCTCAGTTGAACGCTAATTTTTAAGTGTGGAGCAATGTCGATACTGTGGCATAGGAACTTGCAAAGCATGAAAACCCACGTCAGTATTTCCTGAGAAACGTTTGTGGCAGCTCAATCTCTAGAAGCTAGAAGGAATTGAACTATTGAATCAAATGACTTTGTACTTCGCAATGCATCACCCATCTACGTAGTCGTACGTCATAAAGTTGAAGACAAAACAAACAAAGTAAATAGCTATTTTGGCTGGCTGTTCTTGATTAAAAAAAATGAATAAAGGCCTGATCACTGAATTAGTTAACGCAGAAGTATAAACACTCTTCTGAATGGTTCGATACAGAAATTTGGATTGTTTGAAATGGTTGTGTTCAACTGTTGCATGTTTTTGTCATCTCAAGGTTCAAGTTCTAAAAATAATGTTTAAATTTTCCCGGAACATCGAA